GATTATAATTGAATTCTAAAGTACACCCAAGGCTCTGGTTCAAAATTCCAGCTCATAAAATTTTAGTACAACATGAAATGACTGGGCCTGTGTAGCATCTACCTGAAACTCCCCCCTCGGTGGAGCTGCAATCCAGGACGTGCCCTGGGCTGATCCCCCAGCGTGGGCAGCAGGGCAGGGGGGATTCTGTCCCTCTGCCCCCTCAGCTGAGACCCCCCTGCAGAGCTGCCCCAGCCCTGGGAACAGCACAGGGAGGACGTGGAGCTGCTGGAGAGAGTCCAGAGGAGGCCATGGAGATGCTGCCAGGGCTGGAGCCCCTCTGCTCTGGAGCCAGGCTGGGACAGCTGGGGGGGTTCCCCTGGAGAAGAGAAGGCTCCAGGGAGACCTGAGAGCCCCTTGCAGGGCCTAAAGGGGCTCCAGGAGAGCTGGAGAGGAACTGGGGACAAGGGATGGAGGGACAGGACACAGGGAATGGCTTCCCACTGCCAGAGGGCAGGGAGAGATGGGAGACTGGGAAGGAATTGTTGGCTGTGAGGGTGGGCAGGCCCTGGCCCAGGTTGCCCAGAGAAGCTGTGGCTGCCCCTGGATCCCTGGAAGTGTCCAAGGCCAGGTTGGATGGTGCTTGGAGCAACCTGGGCTGGTGGAAGGTGTCCCTGCCCATGGCAGGGGGTGGGACTGGATGAGCTTTGAGGTCCTTTCCCACCCAACCCATTCCAGGACTCCATCCCTGTCTCTCACAACCACTCTTCATGCCGTGTGTTCTCCTCAGACTTTCCAGCCTAACAACCTCTGGATAAAGTGGTTTGTCCCAAACTCGCCTTGTGTCTTTAAAACACCAAAAAAAATCAGCTTTTCACAACCTCATTGCACAAGGATGAGGAAGTTCTATGCATTTCCTGAGGGTTCCTGCTCCTGGTCACAACACCAGCAGCGCTGGCCATCCCACTATCAGCAGAGGCACCTGCCCCGGGATCAAAGCCAAGACAGGTGGCAGAGGGGCCGGGGGGGATGTCAACCTTGATCCAACCTTCAGAGGAACAACTGCTGTGCTAATACTAATGCTGCTCCCTGCAAAGCAGTCTGACACTGGGCACAAATCCTGCACACTGAGAGCCTTGATGGACAAACATAAAGTACATTGTACTTGCTTTGTGTGCATCAATAAAAAGGAAATGGATTGAGGCCGTTAAAATCCCTTTATGGTGGGGTGGAATTATTTCCTCGCTAGACAGGAATGGGAGGGACGTTTCCAAACGAGCCAGACTCCCAGAGACTGAAAAAATTTGGACACTTGGAGCTCAAAAAAAGAGGTTGAAACGCTGATTCTGGGGCAGAAACTCAGCGTGCTCCTGCAGACAGAAATCCCTGCCAGGCTGTGCTTCCGAGGCACGAGGGAAAAGCTTGAACTGGCCACGTCTGATCTGTTCGACCGAGGAGCACCCACAGCGCTGCCCCAGCTGAGCCAGTGGAAATGCAGCAGCCTCGGAGTGACGGGGGCAGTAACTGCAGTGGCACTCCCTGGGATCTGGAGACCTTGAAGGCAGCGCTCCTGCCCTCCACACGGGCTGACTGGTGGGAGCCCAGGAGCAGTAACGAGCTCGTTAATTAATGAATGTCAGGGCGTGGTTACTGCTGTGCAGGTCCCTGCTCTGCACCAGGGCCCTTCCAGTGCTCCCCTAATTATCCAGCTGGGCCCTCCCAGCTGCACCAGGGAGGGGCTCTGGGGTGGAGCCTCTGGGGGGTGCTTGTTTAAAAGTGCTGTTAAATGGCAGACTAGGGGGTTGCTCCTGTCCAAATGGTTCTTAGAGCCAGATCCTTTCCTTCTCCCCTCCATCATCTGCAGTGTCAGCCCAAGCTGCTGTTTGCCAGCCCCTGGATCGTTTGCCATTAGCAATTGTGCTTAGTCCTGCCAGTGAGCAGATGTGGCTTCTTGTTGGGCCACAAAACTGAGGTATTTTCTCTTTCTCAAAAGGTGTCTGAGAGGCTGCAAGGAGACCCTCATCCCTGCAGGTCGAGGGGTGGTGAGCACAGAGCACAGCCGAGCTGGGGGTTTAGAATGGGGAGAATTTGCAGCCATTGGGGGAATTACTCAGGATCTTGAAAGCCCTCTCTAGCTGTCAGTGCTGCAGGGCCAGCAGTGTCCCAGACTTTTCCCTTCCCACAGGGTGTGGGTGGAAAAGTGAAGGCTAAACACAGCCAAATCCAGCCCTCCAGATTCCCTTGAATTGCTGTGACTGGACTAACAATGTCACCTCTGGGAGAACACCCTCTGATCTGCTGCTCCTGCCTCCCAGGCTGGGTTCTGTCTCCCTTTTGGAGACACATCAAACCAGTGATGCTCATTTACTTTCGTGAAAGTCTGAGCTGCTTTGGGCCTGTCACCTGAGCAGCTTTAAAAGCAAAGGCAGGGAATGGCAAATCTAGAGAGACAGCAGTGGAATTCCTCTGGCTCTTCCCATCTTTTCAGTGGGAATAAAAATAGACAGTCATAATGCAGTAGGTAGCTCTAGTGAGGTTCAATATTCAGCAGTCCTGTGGTGATTTTCCAGTTAAGGAACAAACCCACAAAATTATTTTGGATTCAGGAGGGTGACTCACACTGAAAATATACTTATTTTGGTACCTGTCATGAGGGACTCTGACAATGCCAAACTCTTCACTGCTGAGCTGAAAGTATCTGCACACAAGGATCCCAGGACAAGCACTACCTGCATCCTGCTATTTAAGGAGCAGAATTGTAAGACACCTTTGGAATACTTGTCTAAAACTTTCAGTCTGGGCATATTCCCTGCCAATCTCAGTCAGGAGCATGAGCCCCAAACAAGGCTCTGCCAAGGTGGGCAAATCAGGCTGAGCAGGGCTTTTGGTGTGGGCTCACCTGCACTGTGGACAGGAACACGGCCATCGCCTGTCCTTGGCTCTTGGCAAGGGACCTCAGGACGTCGAGGGACAGGATATTGGTTGTTCCCTCCCATATGGACAGAACCTGTGGGGAAGAGGAGACCGTGCAAGAGCATGGAGGAGCCTTTGGAGCAACTGCAATAAAGATAGGGAGTGTGAGGAAACAAAGACAGGGGAAAGGAGGGAGCTCAGCTCCATTACAGTGCTGAGGAATGATCCCAGCACCAGGAACACATCCCATCCCATCCTTGGGAATGGCTGAGCTCAGCAGGAAGGCCGTGAGGGAAGAGCTGCCCCACCTGGAGTGAGCTCAGGGGGACTGTGTTCTCCCTGGAGCAGGTCTTTAGCAGGAAGCAGAGTGCAGTGCAGGGGACCAGGGCACACCCAGCAGCTTCTGCTCTTACCAGAGTGTCCCTGAGGATGACTGGCACGCCCGTGTCCTCCATGTAGCCTTGGCCCCCAAAGCTCTCCATCGCCTCCACAGCCACTGCAGTCGCCTG